CTAAAATGGAATTAAACGTAAAGACAACGAGCTCACAGGCGTTGCTGTCGTGCGGTAACGGAGGAGGTTTGGATGCTTTTTATTTCTTTCTGTTTTGTCAAAATGTCCGGAGAGCTGGACTGGGAAGAAGTACAGAGCCTAAACTGCACATTCGTACAGGAAAGCCAGCTTGTGTATCAGTATGTTGTTGTAAAATAAACTGTCTGTCAGACTATTTGAATATATGTACGCAGCTACACGGAGTAATGAAAACTACACGTTTAGTTAAATCATTGCCAGCGTCATATAAACAAAGTTATTACCTAAAGATTTCGTACAAACACGGTCCTAAAAAACTGACTTGAGGCTCTCTCACCATAGTCATCGTGCAGAGCGCTGAGGCCTGACTTCCTCCTACTCGGGTAACTTTGGTGCCACAGTTCAGTGCTGTGACTCTGCAGGTCGTGTTGAGTCCTTAATTGAAACGTAGTCGACCTTTATAACAAATAAACCCATCTTAGACTAATGGAAGTTAAAACAAAGTCCACGGATCACGTGTTAACAGTGGGGGGGAAAAACATTTTTTGCTTATAAATAAACGGACAGTCTCTAATTTTGATGGTAGTTTTTGAATGTAGAGAAACACGTCAGCCACAGACGCAGAAAAAGCCACAGACGCAGAAAAAGCCTCCACACTGGGTAAAAGCGACTTCTTTCACTTAATGCCCGTAAATCAGGTTAAAAATCAGGTTCTAATGTTTCTGAGATGATTTGAGGTTTCTGTCGATGTCTGTGTGTGCCATTAGAGAAATTAGAGAAACCAATCTTCACACACCATGTCAAAGTCTGCATTTTGCTTTTCTGTTGTTATTTCTTTATTTTTTTGTCTATATTTGGATTCACATTATAAATTAGAGTGCGGTATATCATCCAACTCTCCCCTGGGAGGACCGGGAAAGCACTGGGTGGGAGAAGGACATTTGGAGTATCCTCCCTGCTGCTGCTGTGACCCAACTTTGTGGTCCATCCGGATAGACTGATGCCTGATTATTTCTCACTTTGGCAACTTTCTCTGCAGCTTTCCAGACCATGAGAGATTTAGATTAATCATTGTGCTGACTAGAGTAAACCCAAATGGTCATTTCACTAACTTTCTTAGGGACCTCTATCAGGGACGTGTTGCCACAACAAGGATTTCTACACATTAACCCACTCATGAGAAACGTCTTTCTTTTCCCCAGTATAGGAGCATAGGTTTGGTCATGAGCAGTAACTGATCTGTGTGTTGTGCTGCTAGGTCTCAGTGAGAAGCTTCTCCTCAACCCAAAAGCTGGAAGATCTCTGCAGACAGAGAGAGTCCCCAGAAGCAACGGTGAGAATGT